ATCTTTTTAAGTGGGAGAACTTGCACAATTGGTGGCTGACTAAATACTTTTTTCCCCCACTGTACAATTAAAATTACTTTATACAAAAGTTTATTGCATTTAGTCATCCCCAAAATGTGGCCTTTGAATGCCTTGATAGTTGTATCCTTCCTCAGGGAACTGTCTGCTGATAGTTGCCAACAGGGCGGCAGGTCTGTTGATGTGCTGCTCTAGAGTTCCAGGGTTCTAGAGCCCAGCAGATTCATTGTTGATGTGCTGCTCTAGAGTTCCAGGGTTCTAGAGCCCAGCATACTCATTGTTGATGTGCTGCTCTAGAGTTCCAGGGTTCTAGAGCCCAGCAGACTCATTGTTGATGTGCTGCTCTAGAGTTCCAGGGTTCTAGAGCCCAGCAGACTCATTGTTGATGTGCTGCTCTAGAGTTCCAGGGTTCTAGAGCCCAGCAGATTCATTGTTGATGTGCTGCTCTAGAGTTCCAGGGCTCTAGAGCCCAGCAGACTCATTGTTGATGTGCTGCTCTAGAGTTCCAGGGTTCTAGAGCCCAGCAGACTCATTGTTGATGTGCTGCTCTAGAGTTCCAGGGTTCTAGAGCCCAGCAGACTCTCCTGGGGACAGGGGGATGGACACATGTTGGTTTTTCTGTTATGTCTGTGAGACTAACAGGGAGGAGAGAGCATGAGTTTTGGCGTGAGTACAGTAAATCCAACCAGTGGCCCTGGATAATATGCTATGTCATCACACAGGCAGACTGCCATAGTGAAGGAGGTTTACAGTGCATCAAGTATACTACTATGAGTGTAGCTTACGGCTCTGTGCTCTGGAGAGATCGCAGGTAGTTGGTCAGAAGGCTCTGGAGGTCCTTGGACCATTCTGTCTCTGTAGCACCTGGAGAGAGACCGGTAGAGATATTGAGTGTTAGAAAGAGAGAGAGCCCTCACCTCCCATTGACCCAGGGCCTCCTCCCTAGTATCATGCAATGTAAAGGAAAACAATATCATGACTTACTGACAGAGTGCTCCATGTTCCTGCTGGTAGCAAGCCTCAACCTGGATGCAGAGAAATGTCCTGCCTTGCAGTATGGTGGCATCTATCTCCACCAGGCTCCAAGAAACCAGATGACAAACCTGCAGAGATGAACTAAATAAAATGGCACCTGCATTTAGGATTCATGTATCAGTTTGCCTAATTCACATTCATGTCTATAAATGACAATAGATCTGATTAATAGTATGCATGCCATTTTATGATAACGGCTATGACAGATGACATGGCGTACATGTGAACTTATAGCTAGCTAAGATATAATTTATACTCCTGCACCACGTCTCATCTCACTAAGGCAAACAGCAAATTCCACTATTGTGGCTAATCTGTATTGTGGCTAGCTTCACATCATTTATGCCATCATGACAACATGCTCCTCCTTAATTAACTGTAGTTAGCTGCTAGCTTAGATGCCTGTTTTGCAGCCAAACTGCTTCAAAGATGGATGATGTCAAGAATTAACCATGTAGCTAGCTAACTAAATGACAACCCTATTAATTAAGTATCCGCTCTATTGCTTAATAAATTATTTTATATTTGATTTTACCCTTATTTTACCAGGTCAGTTGACTGAGAACACATTCTCATTTACAGCAACGACCTGGGGAATAATTACAGGGGAGAGGAGGGGGGATGAATGAGCCAATTGGAAGCTGGGGACGATTAGGTGGCCATGATGGTATGAGGGCCAGATTGGGAATTTAGCCAGGACACCGGGGTTAACACCCCTACTCTTACGATAAGTGCCATGGGCTCTTTAGTGACCACAGAGAATCAGGTCACCCGTTTAACATCCCATCCGAAAGATCTAGCTAATGTGAGCTAGCCAACATGCATTGCTTCTGACACATGCCACAATCCTGCTTGCTTTACATCTGATAGATATTTAGCTACCGTAGCCAGCTAGATAGAATGGTTTATGATAATTGCAGTTTAGTTCATTATCGAGCTAAGTATAAAACTGAGAATCTGGCTGTAAAACACAGCTAGTTAACCACCCCAGCTTGGAGGGGTGAGGGAGAGACTGAGGACTCCAATCAGGGAGGGGTGAGGGAGAGACTGAGGACTCCAATCAGGGAGGGGTGAGGGGGAGACTGAAGACTCCAATCAGGGAGGGGTGAGGGAATGACTGAAGACTCCAATCAGGGAGGGGTGAGGGAATGACTGAAGACTCCAATCAGGGAGGGGTGAGGGAATGACTGAAGACTCCAATCAGGGAGGGGTGAGGGAATGACTGAAGACTCCAATCAGGGAGGGGTGAGGGAATGACTGAAGACTCCAATCAGGGAGGGGTGAGGGAATGACTGAAGACTCCAATCAGGGAGGGGTGAGGGAATGACTGAAGACTCCAATCAGGGAGGGGAGAAGGAGAGACTGAAGACTCCAATCAGGGAGGGGAGAAGGAGAGACTGAAGACTCCAATCAGGGAGGGGAGAAGGAGAGACTGAAGACTCCAATCAGGGAGGGGAGAAGGAGAGACTGAAGACTCCAATCAGGGAGGGGAGAAGGAGAGACTGAAGACTCCAATCAGGGAGGGGAGAAGGAGAGACTGAAGACTCCAATCAGGGAAGGGAGAAGGAGAGACTGAAGACTCCAATCAGGGAAGGGAGAAGGAGAGACTGAAGACTCCAATCAGGGAGGGGAGAAGGAGAGACTGAAGACTCCAATCAGGGAGGGGAGAAGGAGAGACTGAAGACTCCAATCAGGGAAGGGTGAGGGAGAGACTGAAGACTCCAATAATGGAGGGGTGGGGGAGAGACTGAAGCCTCCAATCAGGAAGGGGTAAGGGAGAGACTGAAGACTCCAATAATGGAGGGGTGAGGGAGAGACTGAAGCCTCCAATCAGGAAGGGGGGAGGGAGAGACTGAAGACTCCAATAATGGAGGGGTGAGGGAGAGACTGAAGCCTCCAATCAGGAAGGGGTAAGGGAGAGACTGAAGACTCCAATCAGGGAAGGGTGAGGGATGGTTCAGGCTTAGGCCTCTCTAATGTTTCAGGTTCAGGTCTATCTAACGGTTCAGGTTCAGGCCTATCTAATGGTTCAGGTCTATCTAATGGTTCAGGCCTATCTAATGGTTCAGGTCTATCTAATGGTTCAGGCCTATCTAATGGTTCAGGTCTATCTAATGGTTCAGGCCTATCTAATGGTTCAGGTCTATCTAATGGTTCATGTCTATCTAATGGTTCAGGTCTATCTAATGGTTCAGGTCTATCTAATGGTTCAGGCCTATCTAATGGTTCAGGTCTATCTAATTGTTCAGGTGTAGGTCTATCTAATGGTTCAGGTCTATCTAATGGTTCAGGCCTATCTAATGGTTCAGGTCTATCTAATGGTTCAGGTCTATCTAATGGTTCAGGCCTATCTAATGGTTCAGGTCTATCTAATTGTTCAGGTGTAGGTCTATATAATGGTTCAGGTCTATCTAATGGTTCGGGTCTATCTAATGGTTCAGGTCTATCTAATGGTTCAGGTCTATCTAATGGTTCAGGTCTATCTAATGGTTCAGGCCTATCTAATGGTCCAGGTGTAGGCCTTTTAATGGTTCAGGACTATCTAATGGCTCAGGCCATCTAATGGTTCAGGCCTATCTCATGGTTCAGGTCTTTCTAATTGTTCAGGTCTATCTAATGGTTCAGGTCTATCTAATGGTTCAGGTCTATCTAATGGTTCAGGTCTATCTAATGGTTCAGGTCTATCTAATGGTTCAAGTCTATCTAATGGTTCAGGTCTATCTAATAGTTCAGGTATATCTAATGGTTCAGGTATATATAATGGTTCAGGCCTATCTAATGGTTCAGGTCTATCTAATGGTTCAGGTCTATCTAATGGTTCAGGTATATCTAATGGTTCAGGTATATCTAATGGTTCAGGTCTATCTAATGGTTCAGGTATATCTAATGGTTCAGGTATATCTAATGGTTCGGGTCTATCTAATGGTTCATGTCTATCTAATGGTTCATGTCTATCTAATGGTTCAGGTCTATCTAATGGTTCAGGTCTATCTAATGGTTCAGGCCTATCTAATGGTTCAGGTCTATCTAATGGTTCAGGCGTATCTAATGGTTCAGGCGTATCTAATGGTTCAGGCCTATCTAATCACGTTTTTGACTGCACTGGGCCTTTAAAATTAAGGAAAGCTTAAACGAAAAGATAAGGTGGAAATTAACTTAAGATGTTCTATGCAACCGCGCCCAGAGCCCTACTCTGTCTTGGGTTGTAGTGACAATAACACATGATCGTACTGTTTAATTCTACCCAGAGCCCTACACCCAAACGAGGGCACTACGTTCATCCACCTCTGGCCTGCTGGCTCCCCTTCCTCTACGGAAGCACAGTTCCCGCTCAGCCCAGTCAAAGCTATTCGCTGCTCTGGCACCCCAATGGTGGAACAAGCTCCCTCACGACGCCAGGACAGCGGAGTCACTGACCACCTTCCGGAGACACTTGAAACCCTACCTCTTTAAGGAATACCTGGAATAGTATAAAGTAATCCTTCTTCCCCCACCCCCCATGATTCCCACCCCAAAAGGTGGTTGTCCCACTGGCTATCATAAGTTGAATGCACCAATTTGTAAGTCTCTCTGGATAAGAGCTTCTGCTAAATGACGTAAATGTTTAAGGTCCATGAATTCATAATGACGAATAAGAAGGGAATCAACATGAATATAGAATTTCCTGATCAAAGCCACAGCAAGTGATAAATCAAACAGTAAAAATACAATACATGTTGTGAAATGCCAGTCTATGAGTACGTAGACAGTGATTAAACAACTGTTATCTTAATGTAGTAAAGACAGAGGACATCTGCCTTGGGGTTATTGAAGAAACAGAAGTTTGTGTTGTGTTATCTGAATGTAGTGTGTTGATTTGGCTCTGGTGGGTTTTACAGACGGTAAAACATGGTTGGTTTTGTAGATGGTAAAATATGGTTGGAATTGGAATGTCAGTGTACTTCCTCAATTGACTTGAATTGAAACAGAATTGACCCCACCTCTGGTGTTGACTTGACTGTCTCTGTGTGTTAGGTAGACTATGAGGTGATCTCTGTGGGTTAGGTAGACTATGAGGTGATCTCTGTGGGTTAGGTAGACTATGAGGTGATCTCTGTGGGTTAGGTAGACTGTGAGGTGATCTCTGTCTGTAAGGTAGTCTATGAGGTGATCTCTGTCTGTAAGGTAGTCTATGAGGTGATCTCTGTGTGTAAGGTAGACTACGAGGAGATCTCTGTGTGTAAGGTAAACTATGAGGTGATCTCTGTCTGTAAGGTAGTCTATGAGGTCATCTCTGTGGGTTAGGTAGACTATGAGGTGATCTCTGTGTGTAAGGTAGACTATGAGGTGATCTCTGTGGGTTAGGTAGACTATGAGGTGATCTCTGTGTGTAAGGTAGACTATGAGGAGTTCTCTGTGTGTAAGGTAGACTATGAGGTTATATCTGTGTGTAAGGTAGACTATGAGGTGATCTCTGTGGGTTAGGTAGTCTATGAGGTGATCTCTGTGGGTTAGGTAGACTATGAGGTGATCTCTGTCTGTAAGGTAGACTATGAGGTGATCTCTGTCTGTAATGTAGTCTATGAGGTGATATCTGTCTGTAAGGTAGTCTATGAGGTGATCTCTGTGTGTAAGGTAGACTACGAGGAGATCTCTGTGTGTAAGGTAGACTATGAGGTGATCTCTGTGGGTTAGGGAGTCTATGAGGTGATCTCTGTGGGTTAGGTAGACTATGAGGTGATCTCTGTCTGTAAGGTAGACTATGAGGTGATCTCTGTCTGTAAGGTAGTCTATGAGGTGATCTCTGTGTGTAAGGTAGACTATGAGGTGATCTCTGTGGGTTAGGTAGATTATGAGGTGATCTCGGTCTGTAAGGTAGACTATGAGGTGATCTCTGTCTGTAAGGTAGTCTATGAGGTGATCTCTGTGTGTAAGGTAGACTACGAGGAGATCTCTGTGTGTAAGGTAGACTATGAGGTGATCTCTATCTGTAAGGTAGTCTATGAGGTGATCTCTGTGGATTAGGTAGACTATGAGGTAATCTCTGTGTGTAAGGTAGTCTATGAGGTGATCTCTGTGTGTAAGGTAGACTACGAGGAGATCTCTGTGTGTAAGGTAGTCTATGAGGTGATCTCTGTCTGTAAGGTAGTCTATGAGGTGATCTCTGTGGGTTAGGTAGACTATGAGGTGATCTCTGTGGGTTAGGTAGACTATGAGGTGATCTCTGTCTGTAAGGTAGTCTATGAGGTGATCTCTGTGTGTAAGGTAGACTATGAGGTGATCTCTGTGGGTTAGGTAGACTATGAGGTGATCTCTGTCTGTAAGGTAGACTATGAGGTGATCTCTGTCTGTAAGGTAGTCTATGAGGTGATCTCTATCTGTAAGGTAGTCTATGAGGTGATCTCTGTGTGTAAGGTAGACTACGAGGAGATATCTGTGTGTAAGGTAGAGTATGAGGTGATATCTGTCTGTAAGGTAGTCTATGAGGTGATCTCTGTGGGTTAGGTAGACTATGAGGTGATCTCTGTGTGTAAGGTAGACTATGAGGTGATCTCTGTGGGTTAGGTAGACTATGAGGTGATCTCTGTCTGTAAGGTAGACTATGAGGTGATCTCTGTCTGTAAGGTAGTCTATGAGGTGATCTCTATCTGTAAGGTAGTCTATGAGGTGATCTCTGTGTGTAAGGTAGACTACGAGGAGATCTCTGTGTGTAAGGTAAACTATGAGGTGATCTCTGTCTGTAAGGTAGTCTATGAGGTCATCTCTGTGGGTTAGGTAGACTATGAGGTGATATCTGTGTGTAAGGTAGACTATGAGGTGATCTCTGTGGGTTAGGTAGACTATGAGGTGATCTCTGTGTGTAAGGTAGACTATGAGGAGTTCTCTGTGTGTAAGGTAGACTATGAGGTTATATCTGTGTGTAAGGTAGACTATGAGGTGATCTCTGTGGGTTAGGTAGTCTATGAGGTGATCTCTGTGGGTTAGGTAGACTGTGAGGTGATCTCTGTCTGTAAGGTAGACTATGAGGGTGATCTCTGTCTGTAATGTAGTCTATGAGGTGATATCTGTCTGTAAGGTAGTCTATGAGGTGATCTCTGTGTGTAAGGTAGACTACGAGGAGATCTCTGTGTGTAAGGTAGACTATGAGGTGATCTCTGTGGGTTAGGGAGTCTATGAGGTGATCTCTGTGGGTTAGGTAGACTATGAGGTGATCTCTGTCTGTAAGGTAGACTATGAGGTGATCTCTGTCTGTAAGGTAGTCTATGAGGTGATCTCTGTGTGTAAGGTAGACTATGAGGTGAGCTCTGTGGGTTAGGTAGATTATGAGGTGATCTCGGTCTGTAAGGTAGACTATGAGGTGATCTCTGTCTGTAAGGTAGTCTATGAGGTGATCTCTGTGTGTAAGGTAGACTACGAGGAGATCTCTGTGTGTAAGGTAGACTATGGAGGTGATCTCTATCTGTAAGGTAGTCTATGAGGTGATCTCTGTGGATTAGGTAGACTATGAGTAATCTCTGTGTGTAAGGTAGTCTATGAGGTGATCTCTGTGTGTAAGGTAGGACTACGAGGAGATCTCTGTGTGTAAGGTAGTCTATGAGGTGATCTCTGTCTGTAAGGTAGTCTATGAGGTGATCTCTGTGGGTTAGGTAGACTATGAGGTGATCTCTGTGGGTTAGGTAGACTATGAGGTGATATTTGTGTGTAAGGTAGACTATGAGGTGATCTCTGTGTGTTAGGTAGACTTTGAGATGATCTCTGTGTGTAAGGTAGTCTATGAGGTGATCTCTGTGGGTTAGGTAGACTATGAGGTGATCTCTGTGGGTTAGGTAGACTATGAAGTGATCTCTGTGTGTAAGGTAGACTATGAGGTGATCTCTGTCTGTAAGGTAGACTATGAGGTGATCTCTGTCTGTAAGGTAGTCTATGAGGTGATCTCTGTGTGTAAGGTAGACTATGAGGTGATCTCTGTGGGTTAGGTAGACTATGAGGTGATCTCTGTCTGTAAGGTAGACTATGAGGTGATCTCTGTCTGTAAGGTAGTCTATGAGGTGATCTCTATCTGTAAGGTAGTCTATGAGGTGATCTCTGTGTGTAAGGTAGACTACGAGGAGATATCTGTGTGTAAGGTAGAGTATGAGGTGATATCTGTCTGTAAGGTAGTCTATGAGGTGATCTCTGTGGGTTAGGTAGACTATGAGGTGATCTCTGTGTGTAAGGTAGACTATGAGGTGATCTCTGTGGGTTAGGTAGACTATGAGGTGATCTCTGTCTGTAAGGTAGACTATGAGGTGATCTCTGTCTGTAAGGTAGTCTATGAGGTGATCTCTATCTGTAAGGTAGTCTATGAGGTGATCTCTGTGTGTAAGGTAGACTACGAGGAGATCTCTGTGTGTAAGGTAGAGTATGAGGTGATCTCTGTCTGTAAGGTAGTCTATGAGGTGATCTCTGTGGGTTAGGTAGACTATGAGGTGATCTCTGTGGGTTAGGTAGACTATGGGGTAATCTCTGTGTGTTTGGTAGACTATGAGGTGATCTCTGTGGGTGAGGTAGACTATGAGGTGATCTCTCTGTGTAAGGTAGACTATGAGGTGATCTCTGTGTGTAAGGTAGACTATGAGGTCATCTCTGTCTGTAAGGTAGTCTATGAGGTTATCTCTGTCTGTAAGGTAGTCTATGAGGTGATCTCTGTGGGTTAGGTAGACTATGAGGTGATCTCTGTCTGTAAGGTAGACTATGAGGTGATCTCTGTCTGTAAGGTAGTATATGAGTTGATCTCTGTAAGGTAGTCTATGAGGTGATCTCTGTGTGTAAGGTAGACTACGAGGAGATCTCTGTGTGTAAGGTAGACTATGAGGTGATCTCTGTCTGTAAGGTAGACTATGAGGTGATCTCTGTGGGTTAGGTAGACTATGAGGTGATATTTGTGTGTAAGGTAGACTATGAGGTGATCTCTGTGTGTTAGGTAGACTTTGAGATGATCTCTGTGTGTAAGGTAGTCTATGAGGTGATCTCTGTGGGTTAGGTAGACTATGAGGTGATCTCTGTGGGTTAGGTAGACTATGAGGTGATCTCTTTGGGTTAGGTAGACTACGAGGTGATCTCTGTGGGTTAGGTAGACTATGAGGTGATCTCTGTGTGTAAGGTAGACTATGAGGTGATCTCTGTGTGTAAGGTAGACTCTGAGGTGATATATGTGTGTAAGGTAGACTATGAGGTGATCTCTGTGGGTTAGGTAGACTATGAGGTGATCTCTGTGGGTTAGGTAGACTATGAGGTGATCACTGTCTGTAAGGTAGTCTATGAGGTGATCTCTGTCTTTAAGGTAGACTATGAGGTGATCTCTGTGTGTAAGGTAGACTATGAGGTGATCTCTGTGGGTTAGGTAGACTCTGGTGTGATCTCTTTGGGTTAGGTAGACTATGGGGTGATCTCTGTGGGTTAGGTAGACTATGAGGTGATCTCTGTGTGTAAGGTAGACTATGAGGTGATCTCTGTGGGTTAGGTAGACTATGAGGTGATCTCTGTGGGTTAGGTAGACTATGAGGTGCTCTCTGTCTGTAAGGTAGACTATGAGGTGATCGCTGTCTGTAAGGTAGTCTATGAGGTGATCTCTGTCTTTAAGGTAGACTATGAGGTGATCTCTGTGTGTAAGGTAGACTATGAGGTGATCTCTGTGGGTTAGGTAGACTATGAGGTGATCTCTGTCTGTAAGGTAGACTATGAGGTGATCTCTGTCTGTAAGGTAGACTATGAGGTGATCTCTGTGTGTAAGGTAGTCTATGAGGTGATCTCTGTGTGTAAGATAGACTATGAGGTGATCTCTGTGGGTTAGGTAGACTGTGAGGTGATCTCTGTGGGTTAGGTAGACTATGAGGTGATCTCTGTGGGTTAGGTAGACTATGAGGTGATCTCTGTGGGTTAAGAAGACTATGAGGTGATCTCTGTGCCATGCAGTGACTGGTGTATAAAGCCATCACACCAGAGAGGGGAGAGGGGAGGGAGGGGTAATGAGGGGTAGCTAATGAAAAAAACGAGTGTGTGTGTGTGTGTGTGTGCGCCCAGCTTCTGGTAAAAGTGTGTGTGTGTGATTTTCTGGTAAAGACGAGTGTGTGTGTGTGATTTTCTGGTAAAGACGAGTGTGTTTGTGTGATTTTCTGGTAAAGACGAGGGGTTTTGGGTTGTGATCTTCTGGTAAAGACTAGTGTATGTGTGTGTCACGGATTCTGCCGAGGGTAAAGTTGTTTGTGGTACCGTCAATAAACCTCTGTTTACCATAGATTGATGTTATACAAATACATTTCCCAGCTTACGGATGGGAAGATGCCTGGCTAATGTTGACGTCACTAAAAATAAACCTGTTGGGCTGTCACTCTATACTGTTGATGTCACTAAACTATACCTGTTGACTGTCACTAACTAGACCTGTTGACTGTCACTAACTATACCTGTTGACTGTCACTAACTATACCTGTTGACTGTCACTAACTATACATGTTGACTGTCACTAACTATACCTGTTGACTGTCACTAACTAGACCTGTTGACTGTCAGTAACTAGATCTGTTGACTGTCAGTAACTAGACCTGTTGACTGTCAGTAACTAGACCTGTTGATTGTCAGTAACTAGACCTGTTGACTGTCTCTAACTAGACCTGTTGACTGTCACTAACTAGACCTGTTGACTGTCACTATCTATACATGTTGGCTGTCACTAACTATACCTGTTGACTGTCACTAACTATACCTGTTGACTGTCACCAACTATACATGTTGACTGTCACCAACTATACCTGTTGGCTGTCACCAACTATACCTGTTGACTGTCACTAACTATACCTGTTGACTGTCACTAACTATACCTGTTGACTGTCCATTCAATGACATCTGCATGCCTTATCCACCCTCTGCTTTTCATCCCTTGTCTGCAGCTCAAGTGGCACCCTATTCCCTATATAGTGCACTACTTTAGACCAGAGAATGGCACCCTATTCCCTATATAGTGCACTACTTTAGACCAGAGAATGGCACCCTATTCCCTATATAGTGCACTACTTTAGACCAGAGAATGGCACCCTATTCCCTATATAGTGCACTACTTTAGACCAGAGAATGGCACCCTATTCCCTATATAGTGCACTACTTTAGACCAGAGAATGGCACCCTATTCAGTCATATAAAATCCATAGATTAGGGCCTAATGAATTTATTTGAATTTACTGATTTCCTCATATGAACTGTAACTCAGTAAAATCAATAAAATTGTTGCATGTTGCATTTATATTTTTGTTCAGTATATACAGTGCCTTCGGAAAGTATTCAGACCCCTTGACTTTCTCCACATTTTGTTATGTTACAGCCTTATTCTAAAATTGATTAGTTTTTTTTAAATCCTCAGCAATCTACACACAATACCCCATAATGACAAAGTGAAAACAGGTTTTTTAGAAATGTTTGCAAATGTATTTAAAATACAATAGGAAAATATTATTATTTACATAAGTATTCAGACCCTTTGCTATGAGACTCGAAATTGAGCTCAGGTGCATCCTGTTTCCATTGATCACCCTTGAGATGTTTCTACAACTTGATTGGAGTCCACCTGTGGTAAATTCAATTGATTGGACATGATTTGGAAAGGCACACACCTGATTATATAAGGTCCCACAGTTGACAGTGCATGTCAGAGCAAAAACCAAGCCATGAGGTCGAAGGAATTGTCCGTAGAGCTCCGAGACAGGATTGTGTCGAGGCACAGATCTGGGGAAGGCGACCAAAAAATGTGTGCAGCATTGAAGGTCCCCAAGAACACATTGGCCTCCATCATTCTTAAATGGAAGAAGTTTGGAACCACCAAGACTCTTCCTAGAGCTGGCCGCCCGGCCAAACTGAGCAATCAGGGTAGAAGGACCATCCCTACGTTGAAGCATGGTGGTGGCAGCATCACGCTGTGGGATTGTTTTTCACCGACAGGGACTGGGAGACTAGTCAGGATCGAGGCAAAGATGAACGGAGCAAAGTACAGAGAGATCCTTGATGAAAACCTGCTCCAGAGCGCTCAGGACCTCAGACTGGGGCTAAGGTTCACCATCCAACAGGACAACGACCCTGAGCACACAGTCAAGACAACGCAGGAGTGGCTTCGGGACAAATAATGGCCCGAGAATTGAACCCTTTGGCACCCCCATAGACTGCCAGAGGTCCAGACAACAGGCCCTCCGATTTGACACATTGAACTCTATCTGAGAAGTAGTTGGTGAACCAGGCGAGGCAGTCATTTGAGAAACCAAGGCTATTTAGTCTGCCAATAAGAATGCGGTGTTTGACAGAGTCGAAAGCCTTGGCCAGGTCGATGAAGACGGCTGCACAGTACTGTCTTTTATCGATCGCGGTTATAATATCGTTTAGGACCTTGAGCGTGGCTGAGGTGCACCCATGACCAGCTCGGAAACCAGATTGCATAGCGGAGAAGGTACGGTGGGATTTGAAATGGTCGGTGATCTGTTTGTTAACTTGGCTTTCAAATACTTTCGAAAGGCAGGGCAGGAAGGATATAGGTCTGTAACAGTTTGGATCTAGAGTGTCACCCCCCTTTGAAGAGGGGGATGACCGCGGCAGCTTTCCAATATCTGGGGATCTCAGATGATATGAAAGAGAGGTTGAGCAGGCTAGTAATAGGGGTTGCTACAATTTCGGCAGCTAATTTTAGAAAGAAACGGTCCAGATTGTCTAGCCCAGCTGATTTGTAGGGGTCCAGATTTTGCAGCTCTTTCAGAACATCAGCTATCTGAATTTGATTGAAGGAGAAGCGGGGGGCTGGGCATGGGCAAGTTGCAGTGGAGGGTGCAGAGCTGGTGGCTGGGGTAGGGGTAGCCAGGTGGAAAGCATGGCCAGCCGTAGCAAAATGCTTATTGAAATTCTCGATTATCGTAGATTTATCGGTGGTGACAGTGTTTCCTAGCCTCAGTGCAGTGGGCAGCTGGGAGGAGGTGCTCTTATTCTCCATGGACTTTACAGTGTCCCAAAACTTTTTGGAGTTAGTGCTACAGGATGCACATTTCTGTTTGAAAAAGCTAGCCTTTGCTTTCCTAACTGATTGTGTATATTGGTTCCTAACTTCCCTGAAAAGTTGCATATCGCGGGGGCTGTTCGATGCTAATGCAGTATGCCACAGGATGTTTTGTGCTGGTCAAGGGCAGTCAAGTCTGGGGTGAACCAGGGGCTATATCTGTTCTTAGTTCTGAATTTTTTGAAAGGGGCATGTTTATTTAAGATTGAGAGGAAAGCACTTTTAAAGAACAACCAGGCATCCTCTACTGACGGAATGATGTCAATATCCATCCAGGATACCTGGGCCAGGTCAATTAGAAAGGCCTGCTTGCTGAAGTGTTTTAGTCAGGATGATATCTATGAGGGTGCCCATGTTTACGGATTTAGGGTTGTACCTGGTAGGTTCGTTGATAATTTGTGTGAGATTGAGGGCATCTAGTTTAGATTGTAGGACGGCCGGGGTGTTAAGCATATCCCAGTTTAGGTCACCAAGCAGTACGAACTCTGAGGATAGATGGGGGGCAATCAATTCACATATGGTGTCCAGTGCACAGCTGGGGGCTGAGGGGGGTCTGTAGCAATAATAGTAGAGAGAATGATTTATTTCAGCTTTTATTTCTTTCATCACATTCCCAGTGGGTCAGAAGTTTACATACACTCAATTAGTATTTGGTAGCATTGACATTAAATTGTTTACATTCGGTCAAACGTTTCAGGTAGCCTTCCACAAGCTTCCCACAATAAGTTGGGTGAATTTTGGGTCTTCCTTTCCTGTGGCGGTCCTCATGAGAGTCAGTTTCATCATAGCGCTTGATGGTTTTTGCGACTGCACTTGAAGAAACGTTCAATGTTCTTGAAATGTTCCGTGTTGACTGACCTTCATGTCTTAAAGTAATGATGGACTGTCGTTTCTCTTTGCTTATTTGAGCTGTTCTCGCCATAATATGGACTTGGTATTTGACCAAATAGGGCTATCTTCTGTATAGCCCCCTACCTTGTCACAACACAACTGATTGGCTCAACGCATTAAGAAGGAAAGAAATTCCACAAATTAACTTTTAAGAAGGCACACTGTTAATTGAAATGCATTCCAGGTGACTACCTCATGAAGCTGGTTGAGAGAATGCCAAGAGTGTGCAAAGCTGTCATCAAGGCAAAGGGTGGCTATTTGAAGAACAAATTTCCACCGGTCTAATGTCAATTGCTTGTGTTTCTTGGCCCAAGCAGGTCTCTTCTTCTTATTGGTGTCCTTTTGTAGTGGTTTCTTTGTAGCAATTCGACCATGAAGGCCTGATGCACACAGTCCCCTCTGAACAGTTGATGTTGATGTCACGGTCGTCCAAGGAAGCGGACCAAGGCGCAGCGTGTGCAAAATACATCTCTTTATTATGGAAGAGAGAAAAACACGAAAACCGAACACTATCCAAAACTAACAAAAACAACAAACGACCGTGAAGCTAAATTACGTAAGTGCACTGACAAGCAACAAACGTTCAACATAGACAATTACCCACAAAACACATGATGCCCATGGCTGCCTTAAATATGGCTCCCAATTAGAGACAATAAACCCACAGCTGTCTCCAATTGAGAACCAATCTAGGCAGCCATCACATACAAACACCTAGACAAGACATTACCCCATAAACCTACAAACCCCTAGACAAACCAAAACACATACTTCACCATGTCACAACCCTGAACTAACTAAAATATTAATGAAAACAAAGATAACTAAGGCCAGGGTGTGACATAACCCCCCCCTAAGGTGCGAACTCCGGGCGCACCTGCATAAAGTCTAGGGGAGGGTCTGGGTGGGCGTCTGTCCACGGTGGCGCTTCTGGCACTGGTCGTGGTCCCCACCCCACCATAGTCACTACCCCCCGCTTTCGTAGCCTCCTCCAAATGAC